CCACTTCTTCCCCTCTTAAAAAAAAAAAAAATATATATAAAATCAAAATATTACACAAACTGAAACCACAGAAGCATATTAACACACGGTGACAGGTGCACATACGAAGAAAGGGGGGAACGGGAGGGGGAGAAACAAAGGGCAGGGGGGGGGGGGGAGAAGAGGGTCAAACTCTACAAGCAGGCAGTGACACACAATTCATGGGGTCTTGTCTTACCCACAATGGACAAGCTGGCTCCTCCCTGTCAGGTGTGAAATGTCACAGGAATGAGTGAGCAAACAAACCAAAAAAAAAAAAATTATAGTAGTAGTCAAAAGCACAAGCCCGCATTTATATCTTTTCTTTTCTGGGGAGGGGGGTAGGTTCCATACACAGCCTGAATGTTTGTTTCAAGCATGTTGATACTGAAGCTGTATTAATATTGTCTCTTTTATGTATTTAGAAGAGTTCAGCAGTAAAACCTCTTTCAGTGCCATTTGTTTAAAGCATTTACTTCATCTTTTGAGTCATGTGACCAATATGCGTTCTTTTAGAGCTAATGTTTGATTTTCCTAACAGGCTGCCTAGTTAATGGCTTATACAAGACCAAATTGGTGTATAAAGGTTCCTTTTTTGGGGGAAGGTTCATGTGTCAAGGTTGTATTCTGGTCATCTGTAAAGTCTCACCCATTTCCCTATGTAAAGTCGAAGTCATTCTGAAAAGCATATTCCTTTAGTCATGAATAGATGCAAAGCATCTCTAATTCCTAAGAACACACAATGTACATGCTTCATCCTCTTGAAATATTAAATTTCCCTTATGTCTAAGCAATTTTCATTTTCAACTCAAAATCTAAAGCCTATATTTCATACTCACACATGCATGCACTCACACACACATATAATTTCCCTATTACCTCTAACAGACAAAGCACTAAGCAGCTCAACTGACATTCATTTCTATTAATTCGCAGTTTTTACTTGATGTATTTTGGTGATACATCTTTACTTGTTCATATGCTACAACTGTTTTCAATACTGAAGCTTCTTCGTCCAAGAAAGAATGTTACGGTCTGCATTTAGGGATAACTGCACCCTTAGTACAAAGAATTTCTAAGCTATTAAACTGGGCAGAGAACTCATGATTAAGGCAAACCATGTAAGAATGAGAGAGATATACATGCAAATCTGGAGGACAGTATATCTCAAACTTATTGCCACATATACTGAACAAATTCTACAAAAAGGAAAACAGTAAATCAATTACATCTTTACTGAAAATACTTTTGCTATCCTGAACACATATGAAAGCAAAGTATACAATGGCACTTCATAGCATAAAATGCTACTAAAAATCCATTTTAAAGCACAAGCACAGGTAGAAACATCTACATGAAATCATTTATATAGAATACATATATATATATTCCAAGATGATTCCAAAAAGCATTATCATTAACTATTTCTTTATGACATTTTTTTTTAGTCTCTCCTTTATATCAATTTCTTTTTTTACCTTTGCCTTAAAAAAATTATTCTTTTGCTTCTTATTCTTACTCTGTTCTTTTCCCGTCTTACGACTGCAGAACTCTACCAGTGCCTTGGCCCACTTGCGGCACCCTGAGCCTAATTCTGATTTTTTTTTTTTTTTTTTTTTTTTTTTTTTTTGCGTGATTCAAGAGAGAAAAAACAAAATTGCTGGTGAGGATTTCCCAACATGGAAAGTGTATAGTGCATAACTATGATTTGAGTGAATGATAAGGTGTATCCCTAATGTGTTTGTTCACACATGTACAAATGGAACATAGAGCCTAAAATAAGTATGTTGTGATCTACACCTACAGATCTATTTGAATCAGCTATTTATATCTGCCTTGGAAAACAGCACAGCTATTCACAACAAACCCACAACCCAAGAAAAATAAAACTAATCATATATATATATATATATATATATATATATATATATATATATATATATATATATATATATATATATATATAGTAAAAAAAAAAAAAAAAAAAAAAAAAAAAAAAAGAGAGAGAAAAAAAAAAAAAAAAAAAAAAAAAAAAAAAAAAAAAATCTGCAAGGAACTGCAAAGAGGTTTCACTACATATAGAACAATGCTAAATCATCAATCTTTTTTTTAAAACAAGATTCAGACTTGCTGGGAGTCTTCCACCAAGTTACATCTGTGAATAACATACACTGAGTGGAGTAAGAAAAAAACAAAACAAAAAAAACATATAAATAAAACAAAACAAAATAAAACTGTAGTTGAAAGTGAACAAGAACACACTTCAGGAAGAGAAAAAAAAGAAAAAGACAATGACAAAAACAATATAAAATACCAGAAAATGAAATAACAACTAAACAAATTCTCACTCAACCCACACATTGACAATAATTATATGTCTTCAAGAACTACAAAAGTAATCAATGGAATAAAAACAAGTTAAAACACAGCAAACAAACACTAAAATCTTCTAAAAAAACTTTCTTATCTGTAGAATATGAAAGAATAACAGAAGGATTAGTGAATAATACTCAATACTCAATAAAAAAAAAAAAAAAACCTACAGTGACTAAATCATATTTGTATACACATTTTTCATTACTTTATCCTTTCTTTATCACTTCTGCAAAAATGTTTCACGTTTAACCTATATGAATAATGAACATGTACACATACATGAAACATCACAAATGATTCTTCCTGCATTTTGCACAGAACCAAAACTGCTTGCCTTCTTGCTTTTGAAAGTCATTCTGTTTGTGGATTGGCTACAATGAATATTTCTACATATATTGTCTAACTGGTTCATTAAAACAGTAATGAATTCTATATCTGTCAAAGCCTATCCAAAAGATTAAAACAAATTGTATATAATTTTAAAAAAGAAAGACAGAAAAAGAAGATGAAATTCACTATAACTACCAACAAATAGAATAAAAAAAAGGAAGTAGAAAAGGAAAATTGAGAAAGAGAGACAGAGAAAGAGAGCGAGAGTGAAAAAAAATACTCCTTGGAAAATATCTTTACGGAGCGCCCTACCTGTTGTTTTGCCTGGCCGCCTCCTCCGTCCTGCTCCCATGACGTCAAAGGCCTGGCCCGTGTTGATGAGCTGCATCAGCTGATCCACGACCTCCGTGTTACTCTGGTCGTTCGTGACGTCATGTAGGGCCCGTTGCCGGTTGTCTCTCTCTGCGCGCTCCACCTTCTCCCGTTCTGCTCGTTCCTTGGCTTCGCGGTCCCTCTGTCGCTTCTCCTCCTCTTTGACAATTTGTTCTTTGGCTTGCTATTGTGGGTGAGGAGGGCAAGGGGTAGAGGGGGAAGGAAAACAGAAATAAAGCCTTTACTTGGGAGAGATAAAGAGTTGAATACGGTGAGAGTGCCTTTTGTCTAAATGCTGGTCTTTTCACTGAACTGAAGGCAAATACACTGCATATGACACTTAAGCATCATGATTGATATCAAATCCATCTAATGCACATATTAATCATATAAACCACTAAAATCTGGATCATTAAAATAAATAAATAAATAAATAAATAAATAAATATCCATCCATCCATCCCTCTTCCTCCCCATGCTGCAAACCATCACATCAGTTGTAAAAAACATATTCAAAGTATCAGTGCAAAATGCAACAACAAAAAGAGGATCATGGGGCAAAAATACCAAGATGCTCCTGAAACTCAAATAAAAAAAAAATGAAAAGATTTTAGGCTACATGGCAATAAAGTGAAGATGTTACAATAATGAACGACAGTCACAAATCTACGCTGTGAATGAAATCTATAATCTATGATTTTCACCTCATAAAAGTGAAAACCAAATGCTGGTTAAAAACATAGGAACCAATATCCTTCTTCCTTTTCTTTTCTAAAATCACTGAAACATCATTAAACTCTTCTTTACCGACTTTCTCTCCACATGGTAAACAAACTACTACTTTGCAGTACCACTCCCTTTAGTATAATTTAGGTGGTACTGTATATTTCATTGCCACTGTTTACTCAGCGTTTTGTTTTCATACTGGTGATTATAAACTAAGCAAGATTTTACATATAAATAAAGACAGCACAAATGGACAAATTAACTGTGGCTATCATGAGACAACATAATATTTTAGACACCCTTTCATTAATTTTTTTCAAATAGAAACTGACTTACTCTTGCTATCACCTGAATAAAGTGAGCTATCCAGTGTCTTGATGTTCCTATTGGTTGCCATTTATTTGAAAGCACATCCAACCATCAAGAAATTTGGTATGTTGTTTTCAAGCCACATTTACTTCTACAACAAACGATTTTAGATAAAGCAAGGGTTCAGAACATTATTTCCTTTCTATTTATAAATAATTCTTTTACATCAATGTAACAACTGGAGTACAAGACATAGCTTGTTGGTGTTTTTTTTTTTTTTTTTTTTTCTTCAAGCTTACACAAAAAATAGAAGACGGGAAAAGTAACAATTACCTAATACAGGATGGGATAGGAAAATAAATAAATAAATAAATAAAAAATAAAAGGCAACTATTCATATCACAGGTTAATATTATGTCTGTTATTAACTAATAAAACTGAGACAGTAAACCAAATAACAATAAAGAATATATATCTAAAATAAGAATATAAACAATAAGTAAAAGAAAACTACTAAAAATGAAGAGAAATATCAAACTACCTTACCATACCTTTTAGCTTTCTAAAAATAGATAAAAAAAAAAAGAGAAAGTTATAAGGAGATAAAGAAGAAGAAGAAGAAGAAGAGAAAAGAGGCCCCAATGAACTCACTTTATATAAAGCAATAAACTCGTTGATGTCCCTGAAGAAGTCCTCTTGCGAGTACTTGTTGACCTCAAAGGTGAAGAGGTCAGACACCTGCACGAACCTCTTCTGCATCATGTCGAATTCCGTCTCCAAAAGAGACACGTCCTCTTCCGCTGTCTGGTGGAACTCCTCAAACTTCTCTTTAAACCTAGAAGAGATTTTCCATGGCTCTGTCAGTCTACATCACGGTGCAAATGATGGAAAAGGCTGGAGAGGCCGATCAGTAATACTAAGTACTGCAAAGTACCTCTGGGTGGCACAAGCATATTTACTCAGACTGCGAGTGAGTACAAGCAAGAACATTAACATTAATAATAAATGCTACTTCTACTACTAATAATAATCATCATAATGACAAAAATATTACCTCGAGTACATGTACATAGGGTCCACTTCCATACACACCTATGTACATATATACACACTATTGATGATAATCAAGAAAATAACAATAACACCAATTGATATTAAATTTGAGATGAATAATACTGACTTTACTACTACTGCCAGTAATAATAACCAAATTTTTATAAAAGCTGATTGGGGTCTGAACAATGAAAAAAAACAAAAAACTATTACCATCTGGATAATGCAAATCAAATGGCAAATATGGACATCGGAAGATGGCCATAAAGCTAAAAATGCTTATGCACAAAGAGAGGAAATAACTTTACAAATAGGAGGTATACAGCCTTGCCACCGCACACACATTCGCGTGCTCCCCGCCTACAAACAACCACCTGACAGAGCAGAGTAAGCCTAACGCCCAGATTTTTCGCGATCTGATTGCCTTGATGCAACTGATGAATGTGCAATATTTGATAATATGATTATGGATCTTTTTTGTTTTGTTTACTAATTTACTATTTACTTATCGTAAGGTTTATAAGCATGTGATGGGTTTTGAATCCTCATAAAAGTTCAACTAGGTGATCTCTCCTGGTTACAATAAATAATAATGAGCTAAAGGAGCAAGTGAGATATGTTTCAAACTGAGCCTGCATGCATTTTCTATGAATGCAATAACAAGCACAAAAGCTATATCTAGCAAGCTCATGTCAGCGAGCAAACAATACACTGAATGGAGAAGTAGAGTGAGGGGGAAAAAAACCTTGCTTCCTCACTATATAAAGGAAGGGAGGGAGGGAGGGGGATGCTCACTTAAATAAAAGAGATGGTTGAAATATTCTTTCTACATACCAATAAATGTTTCATTCTGATATGACTTGGCAAACAATCTAGTTCCCTGCTTAAATGCTTTGCTAAATGCTAAAGTAATATTTCATATGTGTATCTAATGAATACTTTGCAAAATATCACATACTTGTCTTCTGGATCTTGTTTGGTGTGCCTCTGCAGATCATTGCCAATGTTCTTAATCTCCTTCTTCATCTTTGCGATGTTGGCCTTCACTGCCTCCACGTTGACTCTTTCTGCATCAGAGAAATGCAAGAGGCCATCTTCAAAGTCTGCACTGTCAGGTTCCTCCTTCATCAATGTCTCTGCCAGGTAATGCAGTAAAGTGTGGCCATCTGCATTCTTTGTGTTTGACAACTTGGGCAAGAAACTGATGTCGAACCCTAGGGTGTCAGCATTCCTGGAGCCCGCATTCAGACAATTACCAAACTCCAGGATGTATGACAACACCTTCTCAAACTTCTTGGAGTTAATGAGCTCATCCAAGGCAGCTTTGGTGTTCACAATATCCAGCCGGGTTTCTTTGACTAATGATGGATAATCTGTCTTGAAGGCCATGTTCTTGAGGAGTGGAATTAGCTTCTTGATTTTGCCTATTCTGTGAATGAAGCGCTCACCCTCGGCAAGGTCTTCTTCTGGGTCCTCCAGTGACGTGAGCTTCTTGATGATCTCGTGATCTGGCATGGCCATGATCAGCGTCTGCAGTGTAGATGAGTCTGGCACACCAGTGGAGTCCACACAGAGGATGGACTCGTCGCATTGGAGGATGGCCAGCCGAATGTCGTCCAGACTCATGTGCTTGAACTGACCTCGGAGGGCAATGGACAGGTTCTGGTTGGTCTTCTGGTCCAGCACGCGCAGCTCCTTGTCCTTCTTTGTGGCTTTCTCCACCTGCTCCACATTCTTCTTTTTCACCTGCTTCACTGCAAACCTTTCGCCGAGGTCCTTCAACACGTCCTGCTTGACCTTGATGTCCTTCTTGTTCAGACGAACCCATAAACTGTTCTCGCTCATCTTGTTTGGTGTCACTTTGTTCCACTGAAGCCGTTTTGTTTGAGCAGGAGGCTTTATTGTCTTCCTCAGTGTCATGCCATATGGTAGGGTCTCCACTGGTGGTCTCATTGCAGGCATGCCTGGAGGTGGAGGTGGACCCATTCCAGGAGGAGGAGGGGGACCTGGGGGGCCACCTGGTGGTGGAGGAGGAGGGGGAGGACCACCCATACCTGGAAGAGGTGGCGGAGGAGGTGGTCCTCCCATTCCAGGTAGAGGTGGAGGTGGTGGAGGACCACCCATACCTGGAGGTGGTGGTGGAGGAGGTGGTCCTCCTGACCCAGGTGGAGGTGGAGGTGGTGGAGGACCACCTCCAGGCATGGGAGGTGGAGGTGGTCCACCACCTACCATCTGCTCTAAACCAGGTACAGTTGGTAATCCACCCTTTTTACCTGGATCTCCACCATGTTTCAGGGCCTCTTCATAGCGACTCTTGACCAGTGACAGCTCAGCCTCTAGCTTCTGATTTTTGGTAAGAGCTTCTTCTAACTGTATCTGGTACTCTGATGCTAGCTTTTCATTTTTGTTACGTGTCTCTTCTTTGAACTGGTCAAGAAGGGTATCTAGTTTTATCTCAAACCTCTTTGTGGCTCGGAAATCGGGGTCACACCCATTTCGGTGTAGGACGATCTGGGAAATGCACTCCTCTATTAACTTAAAGTAGGCTGATCTGACATTCTCGTCATCCCTGATAAAGGCAAGGTGCTGCAAGATGGACAGGAGAGGCATCTCGCAGTTGGAGTCTTGTACTTGCTGCCTGACAATCTCAAAGCAGCGCCCTAAATCCTCCATCTCATCCACATGTGTGAAGAAGCGGTCTTGCCAGTCCTCAAAGTCCTCCTTCCTCGAGTTGTTGAACACCTCCAGCTGCGTCTTCATGTCACTGTGCTCGCTGCTCATTAGAATCTCCAAGAGGTCCTGCAGGCCCATCCTCATGAACTCATTTCGCAAGTGCATCCGGAAGTCAAGATTGTCATCGGGCACAAAGTTGATGATGGCGTTGATGAGCGAGAGGCAGCTGAGCCGTAAGGGGTCGTTGCCTTGCATGCCCAGCCCCATGATGATGGGCGTAAACCTCTCCTGCTTCTTGAGCTCCCCCACAATAGTGATGGCATCCAAGACCTCTCTGTGCCCATCTAGCCCGTCTTGCTGCCAGATGGGGAGGCAGAAACTGCAGAGGAGTCGCAAGACCTCAAGCATGATGTTGGGTTTAGAGGGGTTGAGGGATTGTGCCAGGAGGGTGAAGCCTTCTGCTTGTTTGAAGAACTCTTTGATGCCCACAATGTTGTTGCAGATAACCTTGAGGCACTTGATGGCTTCATACTGCACATTGTCCCACTGACGGTTATTATTGCCACTGCAATCAAAAAACCAGTGTCAGGTATGGCTTACTTAGAAGTAAAAGAAATAAAATCAATGGGTATAAGAAGAGCATTAAAAACTATATTCAACTACAAGGGTATAAATAGGCATTGATAGGCAATAAAACATACTAAAAGGAGGAATTCTTCGAATTCAAGTACTTAATATACAATCTTGAATAATAAAGTACAACATGAAAAGGAATGGAATCTCGTAACTAGAATGGTCAAACTGCAAGACATTAGATATTTACTATCTCCCCATTAAATCAATTACTAATGATGTAATTTCTCCTCTATTTGTTTTAGAAAATAAACACCAGTCTCTCTTTTTAACTAGTCACAATGTCGCAATATAACTTTAAATATTGCAATTCTGCTGACTTTGGAACACCCTGCAATTTGACCAACAATCAAACTTTTAGTTCTGAACTGCCAAAGCTCTTGAATACACAAGACATTCAGCCTTTATCTCAATCAAGCGACATACATGATGCACTGACAGAGCCAGATTTTTATTCGAGAGAGAGAGAGAGAGAGAGAGAGAGAGAGAGAGAGAGAGAGAGAGAGAGAGAGAGAGAGAGAAGAGAGAGAAGAGAGAGAGATGGGGAGATCAAGGGAGGAACAGAGAGAGAGAGAGAGAGAGAGAGAGAGAGAGAGAGAGAGAGAGAGAGAGAGAGAGAGAGAGAGAGAGAGAGAGAGAGAGAAGAGAGAGAAGAGAGAGAAGAGAGAGAGAAGAGAGAGAAGAGAGAGAAGAGAGAGAAGAGAGAGAAGAGAGAGAAGAGAGAGACAGAGAGAGACAGAGAGAGACAGAGAGAGAACAAGGGAGGAACAGATATATATATATATGTGTATATATATATATATATATATATATATATATATATATATATATATATATATATAGAGAGAGAGAGAGAGAGAGAGAGAGAGAGTAATGGGAAGAGGAAGGGAGGGAGGGAGAGAGAGAAACAAAGACCAACAGAGACACATTAATTCAGGACAATTTATACCCCCCTCAAAATAACATCCTGTAACATGGAAGCTGTTAATACCACAAAGAGTAGAAACATACAGAGTAAAGCCAAATATACATATTAAAAGATCTGCTCCTTCCTGCAAACAGTTTCTCACCACATAATTTCCATCATCAACAACTTTGGCAGCATCACAGTCACCTCATTAAAATTTCCAGACAGCTGCCTGACATTCACCAAACACCTCTAAAGGATAGCATAGTCTCCTACCTGTCACAAACTCCAGGATGCTTATCACAATAAAAGCAGGTACTATTCTACGGTAAGCTACATTCTCATACCAAGCTCAATGAGATATGGCCTAAAAGAAATGGGCAGTACCAATTAAAGAAAATGTATATCAAAAACTATTGACCAACAGAAAGGAATATACACTAATGAAAAACAGAACTGGAAGCCGAATAGACATTTAGCATATCTGGTAATAGATACTAATTTGGCTAATTTTGCTCGACTAGATCGGGTAAAAGATACTAATTTTGCTCTGCTTTTCTCCTGACATGTTGTGGTGTCCTGAAATTCCTCAATGAGCCTGGCAGAAATAAGATAAACAATAATAAAAAAAAAAGGGAAATTATGCGCTACAAATTGTGACCTTTATTTTACTCACCCTTCTTGCCCACTACAGTAAAGTTGTCAGCAGAGGTAACAGAGAAAAAAAATCTAAAGTTAGTGATGGAAAATACATCAGGCAGAAGAGACATGCTTAAAGAATAATAAAAAGATTAATTGGAAAGATGACAGAGGCACGTACTGTGAGATTTCTTTTAACGGATGAATGAATATAACTTGTGAACGCTCTTTACTGTATGCGGCCTTAATAAGTTTTTAAGTTTTTTCAGTGACAAATGAATGGGTCATTTGTTGCTTTAAGAAATATCAACTGTCCCCTATTTGTGATGAGTAAAATCACTGGAAAGAAAATGTAATATGCATACTGTTATAATTTCTACTGAACAAAACACAGTTGGAGAAATCACCAACAGTACGTTCACTTTCCATAAAAATAAGTCATACAAACTAGGGGCAAACTTCAAAGTGTTAAGTTCTATGTTCACAAGTGTATCCATGACTATTTACATGTTATGTTACTGGAAAGAGTGTAAAGAAAGATTAAGAGAGATATCAGATGAAAAAGAGGCTTAAGGACAATGAGAATAAAAGCCAAATAGTGAGAAAATTCCAGATAATGTTGCTACTAGAATCTTTGTGTGTGTCAATGAGACCTCTGATTTCTCTCTTTCCTAGTTGCTTTAAAATGAGATAATTTTTAAAAGGATAAAAGGATAGAAAATGTTGACCAATGTCTGAGATAAAAATAAATGCCGAATAGTCCAATTCTTTGAGAAATGATAGCCCAATGCACCCTATCATAACATCAACCATAAGGATATAAAAAACTGTATGGTATTCTAACCCTTAAAATGTGCATACCCTGGAAAATAATATGCTTGTCATAATGTTACATGACAAACAGCATCAAGTCTCTTACTGCTGCTGTGAATATTAATGTCTCATACAGTTCCGTAGCAAACCCAATGCTACTTTACTGTGCTATATTATTATTACTTCCATACATTAACAATAAAGATGGATGTGAACTGCCACTGGTTTGAGACACAAGGTTGCTGCACCCTTGGTTAGGACTATCTCAAAGCCTTATATACTCTACAGTGCCCTATTGTACCAATTAGAACAATGTCTTGGGTGCTGGTTGTTGACATGGAACAGTAAAATAAAGAGAACATTTTCACATCTGGACTCACTGCTTATGGGCACAGTTCTCAGCCAATGATGAGACAATTAGCATACCCTACATGATCTCGCCTGATTTTCCCATTCCTGAATTTTTGTGATTTTTATTTCTAATGTTATTAACCCTTTGGTGGCATCTACTATAATGCCATGGTGGTGTAGTGCTGATGACGCAGGTGGCAGATACAGATTTGGATATAACTGTTTGGTGGACCACTGTCTCCGAAAAAGCCCACACACATTGGGTTAATATTGACAGTATTACAATTATCATAGAGTTTTTGACTATGATAATTTAATAAAAATAGTTATAGTAAAAAATATCATTATCATTTTTTTTTTTTTCCAAAAATCAAGGACAAGGGTAAACAGGTGAGATAGGTAAGACTAGTAACTACCTTGGTGACTAAACACTTGTAGAGCTATCTATGTGTAAACAAAATATACAACTAAAAGCACAATGGCATGGCACAGGAGTGAAGCCCAACTATTTTCTTTTGTGCTTCACAGACTTATCTACATAGATAAAATTGTTGTGCAGCATTATTCTCAAGGAATATATGTATCTAATAAAAAAAAAAAAGTGAAATTGACAAATGGTGCATCTTAATCTATATATAACAACTGCTTTGACAAAATAGTATCAATATTCTACAAGAAAACCTATTAAACTGTCTTTTATGGTCATTTGAAGAATGTCTGAGAGTGTGATTGCTAACTTCTATTCACATACTGGGTGCATTAGCATGTCTGCAAGTGTGTGTATTCCTGTTCAAGGGGTAAGTGAAATACTACTGATATGAAATTTCTGTAGTTCTAAGATTCTATAATTCTTACAAAGCACATCAAATATATTGTGTGTGAAATATATTCACTACAGCAACAGCATATCTTCATGGGCAAATGAAAGTTCCATTACTTAAGCATACCTCATATATTGACTTGACAGCAAAGATTCCAAAATCAAATTGTTAGTAATCAATTAATTAAGGTTTTATACAAAAGTGAATTAACAATGACATTAGATTATCTCTAAAACAATTAAGGAAAAAAAACTATTAAAACTAAGGAAAAATGCTTCATAAAAATATGTATAATGACAACAGAAAATTTATTCACTAATTTATTCTACTATAATTAGGAAATGTAGGCAAGAATACAACACTAGTTCAAGTCATATCTCATGCACAACTATTCATAGAGTTCAAACTACATTAATTCCTCTAAAAGCCATACGAGAACAATATCTATCAATTTTCTTGGGTTTACTGTCACTAATCACTGAAAATAACTCAATCACCTCCTCCTGAACTTCCGAGGGACAACCAATAACCATACCTTATCAACAATAGATACGTTTATACTTTTATCTTTGCTCAAATTTTTATTCATTTCTCAAAATTTGGCTCAGGCTTGGGGGTTCAGCCAACAGGCTTCAGCTACATGCAATTAAAAAAACACGGAGGAAACTCTATTAAGAAAAGCCTTGATAAAATTACAACAACAATAATTATCAAAACAATAAGTAACGATGAAGCTAAATGCAAAAATACGTCTCTTACCTCCTGTAGCACTCGTTCAGGATAGACAATAGGCACTTGAGGCCCTTTTGTGCAAACTCTTGCACCCACTGGATCTTGTTGCTCCGCAGTGCCACCTGCAGACTCTCCAGGTTCTTGAAGATGGACTTGACGCTCAGGTCGTCACGCTTCAGGTGATCGATGTAGTCCTGCGGAGCTTCCAGTCTGCGCTGTGTCTGAGCCATCACCTGTAATGAGTATATACTGGGTGAGATGAAAATCTAAGAGAAGACGAGCAGGAGATGTAAAAGCAGCAATGGGTATGAAGTATGAGCATAATTTACTTAAAACAAAACAAGTAATAATGGTCATAAAGCCTTCTAAAGCAGACAAGAAAATCTGCTTATTTGGTTCCTGACACTGATGGAAATGGAGGCCTTGATTTTTCCTATAGAGGAAAGCAATGTGAAAGAGCTTATAGGTGGTAAAGTTACTGATTATGTACCCTTTTCAAGACCTGCTCTATAATGCTATAACTGTGCCATACGTCACATAACAGAGAACTTCTTTACTAATGGGGAGTGCTACATATCATGGGAATACAGTCCCCATGAAATGGAAGCACAAGAGATGAAGCTTATGTGGAAAAATCAAAACAAAGAGATAATAATTAGAAAAGTTATTATATACTCTTTGTCTTTCTTAACTTCTTTAATATTCATGGAGTGGTTAGCCATAAAACTTGTCAATGGTACCCATCTCTCACCTTGTGGTTACTGGCCAACATGAGCCTCATTTTATCAACAGATGTGTTGGTTAGCATCATGCTCTCATCTGGGATGTTCATGTCAGTCATCATCTGCTGGAATTTGGCTTTAACCTGTCACAGAAAAATTGAGAACACCTTCATCAAATACTTGCAGAGGAACTTCAGATTGCTATGCTTAGGTAACAGAGGTAAGTAAAAATAGCTTGAACAGATATTGTTGAGATAAAGTCTCAAAATAAGTCTATATGAGGTAAATGCACTGATCCTTGACCCCTGAACTTATGAGGCTTTTCCTCTTCTGATCTGGATCCTTTGCTGTTCAGTTTCAAAATTTTGTGCTTTCTAGGGAAAATGACAAAAAATGATTAAATAAGGAAGCCAAAGGAGAGGATAGAAAGGAGAAGGAGAAGGAGGAGGAGGAGGAAGCGGTGGAAGAGGGAGGCAGAGGAAGAGGAGGAAGGGATGATAGTGGAGCTGACAGAAGGGAATGAGGGAGGAAAGGAGGTTGGGAGGTTGGGGGGAGAAGGACGGAAGGTGGGTGAGACAGAGAGAGAAAAAGAGAGGAAGGGGAAAGTAGAGGGACAGGGAACAAATGAGGGCAGGAGAGAGAAAACATGCAAACCTGTTCATCGCTGAGGTTGTCGAGGTTGTACTGATCTTCCTCTATTTCATTGAGATCGAGATCAGAGTTGGGTCTTGGGATGTGAGTGCCTCTCTCCTTCCCAATGGTTTTTTTCTTTGAACTTCCCAGGAGCACCTTGTCCAGCTGAAATTGGTGCAGGGGGGAATTAGCATTTCCGTTTCTGAAGGCGAAGAAAAAATATACAAAGGAAAGAAGGAAGTAAGAAGAGAGAAAAATGGAAATTGAAGAGAATGAAAAGAATAAAAAGTATGATGGATACAGTGGGGGGGGGGGGGGGGGGAAGAAAAAAGAAGAAGATAAAAATATCATCATCATCTATCACATTCCGGATATTCAGTAATCGCATAAAATTCATAAACACACGCATAAATTCCTAACCTAAACATGATGTAGAACGAAACAGAGAGAAGATACATGCCTTACTTACGAAGCTCCCGGTTTTGGATTTGTCGTTACGAGACATTGTGCGGGCAAGGGGGTAACAGGTACGACTAAACTACAAAAAAGGGTCAAAAGTTACGTCTCTTGAGCTACATTGGCTTTAAATACTCCCACGTGAACCTGAAAGATTAACAAAAACATGTATGGGTTAAAAAAGCGGACTTAGTGAATCATGGTTCATATATAATACACAATGAGATCTACAGGTAAACATATGGTGCAGATAGAGGATTAGGGTGAAACAGATAAACATGATGTTATCTTTATAAATCAATAGATGTGGTTTTGACATTCCTGAGCACTTAGTAGTTTTCTCCATACTAACATCATAAAATAGCTTAAAATAAATCATATATGCCAGTTCACCCTTATTAACATCCCATTTAACCAAATTCACTTTACAATTCTA